TAGAACAATGTGTTTTAATTCCTGTCCACATCCAAGGGTTATTTTCTTGTGTTGATGCATGTGTGTAATTCCTGGTAACTTTAACTTAGGAATTGTATAGTCAGTTTACGGAGCTGTAAGAGACTTTTTCACACCCGAAGCAAGATGGAGGTTGCTGTATTCATTCAAGCATGAAATCCTGGCTGAGAGATTAAGCCTCTTACACAGATCCCAGTGCCGTTAAATGCCAACGAGGACCGTGTAAGCCACATCTCTGAGTGGAGGAGAGCTTCCCTTTGTTAGTTGTTCAAAATTAGAAATGTAAACAGCTCTCATGGAGTAATTAGTCTGTGTTTGAATTGTGAGAAAGTGATAAAAATAATGACATGGCGGAGCTCCTAGCGATGTCATACAGCTGTATCTTACAGCCTAACAAAGACATGACTGCTCTGCTGGGAGGTAAATGTGGGTCATAGAGCAGAAGTCACACGGGAGGAGAAGTCCCATTGCATAAGGTCACTAACAGCTCTTTGAAAAAATCCCTCTTGCTTACAGGAGGAACGGCATTTTTTGAAGCTTCATGGCGAAAACTGCAATTCGTCATAATTCCACAATGCACACATGTGTCCTCCAAAAACCCAGGTTCTCTGTCAGCAGAAATTCGTGGCTGCAGTGGTGTGAGAGCCCTCACCACTTGCTCTTGTTTTTCCCATCCCTAACTCCTAGATGCTTTAGTGAACCTGTGGCTTCATGGTCCCCCTGTAATCCGTCGCTGCCGTCTTTCACGGTGACTCACATAAAGCTATTTCTAGCTATACACAAGGTGTTTTGCCCATGTCACTGTCTTGCTAAACAGGTTTCTGTGGAAATTAAATTAAAAAAATCTCCACCACTGGTGCTAATTGGTGCCTTTGGCAGGCTGAGCAAGGGCTTGTGAATTGAATGTGTCATGGAGAATTGAATGTGTCAACTCTCTCCCAATGGCTGGGACCTTGAGGTCTTTTTCTGGCACTAAATTTCCTTTGAAAAAAAGAAAAAAAGGGGGGGAGCGGGGAGGGTGGGAAGAGAGAGAGAAAAAAAACCAAGCTGAAATAAGAGATCTTTTCCCTTTTTTTTATGAGGTGTTGAAGTTGAGCATTGTAGTGTCCACGCTGAAGTGTTTGCTTGTCATATGCCTTGAGAAGTAGGGCTGTTTTCTGCTGTTGTTTCTCAGGCATCCCATTTGTTGCCATTAGATGCTGAGCAGCACGGAGTGACAGGTTTTATTCAGTCTGTTCAAGCATCTGGCAGGATAGCCATGAAGTTGTTGCCGATGTCCTTAAGGGACTGTAGGGATCTGCATGATTCATTCAGTATTTTTTTCAAGGTACAAAGAAGAAATGTCTTACGCTGTAGTAAATACTGTTCCAAGTAGAGCACAACCAGCTTAGCAGAGCGCAGGAGATTTGCTGCTTTGGAGGCACTGACTGGCAGCACAAGCTCCCGTGCCTTTGGGCAAGAATACACTAACCCACGTGGAGTTAAACTGGGCTGTATTTCAGGCTGCTGAGGATTGGCAGAACCATGTCCACAGACCAATTCACATTTTAAGTTGCCCTGACTAGGAGGGGAGAAGGTTATCACTGCCAGGCTTTGAGTTATTTGGGTGTCAGAAAAGCCTCGTTGTGGTTCAAGCTGCTGTCGAGTTTGTTGGTGATGAAGCCAAGATTATGTGTGCAGGGGGCTGGAGAGGGGAGGGTTGCAGTTTTTATTTTTCTTTCAGTAGGAAACGTATTTTTTCTTTTCCAGCTGGGCCATTTGTTTGTCTTTGGCAATATTACGTTTACTTTGGGAAAATGGAGGGAGGAAGGTCTTTCAGCAGGGGACAGCTACTAGTACTAAAGCACAGATTAGCCATGTCCTTTTACACAGGTGTCTTCCCTTCCAATATTCCTTCAGAAAAGACTGAATTTGGTACTTTCTCTTATGTACTGAGCCAAAGAGATTTTACACTGCAAACTTCAATGCAGTTTGCATAACATGGCAGCAAGAAACTCTGGAAAGTCCATAGGCTGAGTGATAGAGTTTCCTTGGGGACCACCTGCTCTACTACCTTTTCTGTTCTTCTGTGTTTTCTTATTTTTGAGTCCAGCCCTGACCTCTGTAGCAGATTCAGGTGTCCACAATAAGGTGTCCGTGCTCTCCTCAAACCACAGTAAACTGGGTCTTGTTGTGAGTTTGGTTTTTTTTAAGAAGTTACAAGCCAAATATGTCCAGAGAAAAATTTTTATCCATGTGCATTTTCAAAAGTATCAGTCTGTGAGCTTAGAAGTCTTCATTTTTGTCAAGGTTCGATAACCTGCCTGAAACATCTGCACATTTCCCATTAAGCTACTGTTTTCTTCCAGCCCTCATTCACAGACACATTTTTCTATCCTGAGCTATTACTTCCCAAAAATGACCAGTTAAAGGGTATTTCACAGCATATTCATCTTTCAAGTGCAGTTCTTTCAAGTAGCGCCAAGAGTGATAAACCAATAGATTTCAAACTTCTCCTTATCAGAATGAACCCACAGAGCTGAAATCTAAAATGAAACTCTTCGGGCCCATGGAAAAGGACATGGCAATTGCAGACTTGTGATTACAGCTTGATATTTTCCCCTCTGAATTCTCTCTCCTGGTTAAAAAGCTATATATTAAAAATCTAATAAATGAAGAAATAATAGAAGATAGACTTTGGGACTAGCTAGCAGGATAGAAAAATGTTGCAGTGTTGTCTCAAAGTTGCACTATTAAATGTCACAAACTCAGATTTGTTTCCTATTTTTCTATTTTTTTCTATTTTCATTCTGGAGAAAAATAATTCAAATTTTCAGAATTTTCCAGTGAAATAAAAGGTTTACAAACACTCACAAGAAGCACAAACAGGCTGTGGCTGTCTGTAACACACATCCCTGAGAACAGTGTTCCACTTACTGAAATAATTATTAAACCGTCTCCATCGTAAAGTGTGAAATTTTAAAGCTGTTGGCAGTATGAAAAATGTTTCTCTCAGCTGTGTTATGTCTGCATTACCTGCCTGCCCATGTGTTGTAGTGCCTGCAAGTGATTTTCTGTGTCAGGGATAAACTCGCTGCATTCCAGCTGGGAATACATGGTCACCTTTGCTTGTTATGGAGGTAATGATTGTTGCTGGTCTGGCTGCAGAGCTGGAGGGAGCATTCCCAGTGCCGTGCACGGCTTGAGCCAAGCAAGAGGCAGTGGAGGGGCCATTCTGGATTCAGCCCTTCCTTCCGAGGACCACCTCTACACAGTCACTTACAATGTTTGCTGTGTTCTGCTGTGCACACCTTCTCCTTATCTTCTTTACCATTATGAGGATGCTGCATGGCTGAGCACAAGTCATGGGCGTCAGGTGGGCTGGAATGCTTCACCTTGGCCAATATTAGGGAGCTGATGCAAACATCATCTTTGCTCACTGCCTAAAGCACAGATTATTTTATCTGTGTCATGCTCCAAGGGAATACCAAGGCTCGTGAGCCCCGGGTTCTTTTATTTACTGATTGGTTTTGACATTTCTCTGGAGTTGTAACAAACCTCTGACTGTGCTTAAGAGAACAGGATTGCTTTCTTATTCATCAGTAAAACCTGCATCATCTTGCTTGATGCGAAGTAGGTTTTTACTTCAGGAGCCACTTCTGCCTCCCAGCCGGCATTCCCCAGCATGTTTTCCCTCTCCCCATAGTAGCTGGGTCACCAAACACTACATCTGGATCCACAAGCTCTATAGCAGCTTTGGGATCTCTCCTTACTGCGGTTCCAAAGCAGGGACTGCCCATGTCCATGGGACAAGAGCTGGATTCAGCCCCACTGTATTTCCCCTGTGGATAGAGTAGCAACCAATTATTCCCTAAGGGTATTCCTGCATCACTGATTTACTGTGCTAGATGGGAGCTTTCCCAGCATGAATTCTCCTTATGTCTGTACCTGTAATCTTGTGTTATGGACATAAGTGTGGCAGGTGGTGCTCTCAAAGTGGTTTCCCTCCCACTGAAAATAAAGTTGGAGTCACAAGCTGGGATGTTGTGTTGAACATCCCACTGGCAACAAGGACCTCCCTCAGTAAGTTCTCTGCATGAACACTGTGCATGCCTAGGAGCAGGGCTGGGACATTACAGATTGCAGTGAGGCAAATCCTGGTCCTTGTTGTTTGTCCCATGCATGTCACACTATAGCTGTTCCCTTGGGGATCTACCTGTGAGCCCTGACCTCGCCCTGGGGGTGGTGTTGAGCTGCCTGGGTTGTGTGTGCTGCAGCAAAAGCTACTTGACATGTTTGCAGTGGAGAAAGTGGCAGCAACCCACCCCACAGACCACCCAGTTGGACCATGCTGTCAAAGGGAAAACCAGAGGATTAAGGCAACTAAACCCACCCTCTTTACTGAAGATTAGGCAGATGCAGGGTGAGCAGAACCTCCCTTTACGCTGTCAACCATCAGCAGCCTCCATTATCCCACCATGGTGAATTCTCCTGTAGCTTATTTTTCATTCTTGCAACTGAGATGAGTGTCCTACCTCCAGTCCTGCCTGGTTTCAAAAAGGAGGGGAACCAACCTTAGCTCTTTTATGTAAGGCCCTTTAAATAAGGTCCTGCTTTAACCTGATTTTCTGCCTGGGATGCAACAATGAATTCCTGCTGCTTGAGCTTGCCATGTTGCTTATATTCAAAGTATAATGGGGAGCCTTCAGAAAAATATAACCTTATTTACACTGTACAAAGCCAATTGGATTTTGGTTAACAATTTCTAAGTGATTACAGTTCACTAACAATGTAGGTGTGCTATAGATGCAATGCACAGGAGGGGACTTTTTATTTTAAACCATACAGGCTTTCTTTTATTCATGTCATTCAGGCAGCCTCAGGATAATTCACATTTACAGCTTTCATATTGTGTTGTTCAACCACTGTTTTTTCTCCCTGCCTATTGTACTCTCACAAATCGTACTCACTAATTTCTGAAAGCTTTTCATTTCTCTCTATAGGTTGTTGTTTCGTAACATTTTATACAAGAAAAGCTGCTCTTGAGGCACAGAATGCACTGCACAATATTAAAACTTTACCTGGGGTGAGTACATTTACTTTTTAATCCTAATTATTTTACTGCCAGAAAAATAGCCCTTTTACTCTCGGTGATGCTTGGTACCCCAAATGACCTTGATCTCTGCAAGGAGGGTGGCAAACCTGATGGTCTGTCCTGTACCAGTGCCAGTCCTGAAGCAATGGCATCATTTCCATGGGCAGCTGCTCTTCTGTAGAAAGTCCCTTGGCTGGAAATAGTGCTGATACCTGCTGACTAAAGGCAGTGACCAAAGTGCAATGTAGATTCATTTCTAATTTTTTTTTTATTTAAGGGGGAGGGAGGGTGAGAGAGGGGGAAAAATATGTAGATTCATTTCTAATTTTTTTTTTATTTAAGGGGGAGGGAGGGTGAGAGAGGGGGAAAAATACGGCAGAAAAACACTACACCAACAGGGCTTCGAGTTTCAAAAGGGAGAGAGGAGCAAAAGACAAAAAACAGCCAACTTTGTTAAATGCAGCCTTTATCCACATGGTTTCTAAACAACCTGAAAGCATTGGTGTGGTAGCTGCCCATCTCAGGGTGTTGTAGAGCGTGGTACCACATTGCTGCTTGCACGGTGTCATCCAGTTCCCTGCCACCACCTCTCCTCATCACCTGCTCCCAATGATAACTCACACCAGCACTCAAAACAGCTGTGGTTGTGTTGTACAAAGTGTTCCTTGCGTTATCCTGTGGTAGTTTATATTTAAATTGCAGGGCTAGAGAGAAGTATATCACTGGTAATTGCATGCCTTAACTCTGAAATTTTCTTGTTCCACTCTTTTTATTTTTCCTGCTGAACGTAGCCAAATATTTTGAGGATGGAAAAGTAAAAATATAAAGGATGGAGGTTTATTCCCTCTTGATGCAGGAGAAATGTTGAAGTATATGTTTGAAGTGTCTGGTTACAGACATGAAAATAAATAAATACACTATATAAACGAAGAGAGCATTGACTGGACTGACAGTTATATGGCCAATATCTCCTTTAGTTCCTATGTGCTATATGTGAAATTGGACACTATATGTTTGAAAAATTCACATCTGGCCAGCTCACTTTATGCAACTCCTGTTAGGAAAGCCACCTTATCTGTCATGGAAATTACCAGCCTAGAGAAGTACATGGGACAGTTACCTGTGAATCCTGCTAATTCACCAAGGCAAAATGGGAGTCCTCTGTCATTTGCAGGTGTAAATGCTCTGAGTGGTGGTAGGAAATCTGCAGAGGTAGGCCAGCCACAGGAAAACAGGAGAAAAATTGCGGCACTTGAGATTCAAGTGATGTTTTCCAGCAACTGGCTCTCAAAAGGGGCAGTGTCAAGACCTTACAAGCCTCCCAGTAGCAGGCTTGGCATTAAGGTTGTACAGGAGGGATGTGTCATCCTCAGAGAGAAATGAAGGCTCTGAAAGATGATTTCCTTGTTTGTTCCCATCCCCACTGCCAGAAAAAGCCGAGCCCTTGGACGACTGCTCTAACCCAATTCAGCTAATGTTGCACTTAAACCAGCTCACTGAGTAATTGCTCTCCAACATGCTTTGAGTCAAATGGTTGTGCAGACTGGATGGACACTCTAGTGGAGGTGGTCCTGAGCTGCTGGAGCAGCACCCTGCCCAGACAGCATCCCTGAAGCTCTGCCACAAGATCTACACATCACTCCTCGTAGAAATAGAGGGTCCTTTTAGAAACATAGAATTGTTAGGGTTGGAAAAGACCTCCGAGATCATTGAGTCCAACCTTTGGGCAAGCACCACCATGTCAACTAGACCATGGCACTGAATGCCACATCCAGTCATTTTTTTAACTCTTCCAGGGATGGTGACTCCACTACTTCCCTGAGCAGCCTGTTCCAATGCTTGACCACCTTTTCAGTGAAGTTCTTTCTAATGTCCAATCTGAGCCTCCCCTGGTGCAGCTCAAGGCCATTTCCTCTTGTCCTGTCGCTGGTTGCCTGGGAGAAGAGCCTGACCCCCACCTGGCTACAACCTCCTTTCAGGTAGTTGTAGAGAGCGTTAAAATCTCCCCTGAGCCTCCTGTTCTCCAGGCTAAAAAACCCCAGCTACCTCAGCCACTTTTCTTTGCTCCTCTGTTGTTCCATGAGCCCCTCAAGCTGGTTGCTGTGTTTTGAGAGATCTTAGTTATTTCAGTGGGTGACGGGGAGAGGCAGACTCCTTCTCTGACTTCTACATATTCAGATGGCAAAGCTGGCTCAGCTCTGCATTGCATCTTACTTGAGCAGTGCACCATTTTCTCCTTCACTTTTGCACAGCTAATGAGCAGGTAGCAGTTAGAGACACTACTGTACCATTTGATTTTTTTCAATTTCAAAAATAATAATTTTTCTAAAGCTCTGTCTAGTTCTTTGTCTTTCCAAGCTGAGTTTTTATGTCCTGACTGTGAGGTTACAAACTTTCCTTTTAAGGAAATGTGGAAATTGCATCCCTGTGACTCTGGGGCCTGATACAGCCAGAGATGTTTAGATTTGACTTTAAGTTGTTATACCTACTTTTTAAATGGACACCTCTAATAAAGAGAAGCAACTTGAATACAGATCTACTACTTGTCCTTCAGGATGATTCAGCATATATTATATAACAGATTCTATATTTTGCACGTGCAGTATGCTGACATTCAGCATATATGGAGATACTGTTATGCTGCATCTGTGTATGCCCAAAATAACTTCATTTAAGCATGCTTTAAAGTTGTGGCACACGTGCTGAAAACACTTCACGTTAGCAGGATTCTCCATATATGAATTTTAGCAATTTCTGTATTGTTCCTCTTGCCTGCTAAGCAGCTTTTACTGAACAAGCAGGAATTGGTAGTGGATAGGTCCATGTGTGAAATAATCTCAGAGCAAATGGAAGCAATCTTCTGGCAGAGCTGCAACAAGGGATGAATTTGGATCAGGTTCATTTGGGCATCAAGTGTCAGCTTGCTTCCAGTAAATGAGGTATGGTCGGTAGGAGGTTCAGTAATAAGGTATCTCCTGGAAACAAAAGAATCTGTGCCTTCCACTTTTGCTGTAATACCACCATGCATCAGATAAGGCATCCTTAAATAGCCCAGGAAGAAAATCCGAGGCAAAGGCAGGTGATTTATTAGTGTAAGGTAAGGAAAGCTGGCAGAGGCAGGAGCAGGGGGCTGTAGGGATGCTGTGGTGCTTGGAACTCATCTGTGTTTTACCTGCACTCAGGTGTAACCTGTGCTGCTGCAGAGGCATGGAGGAAAATACCTCTGTCTTCATTAAATGAATGAACCTAGATTATTTTTGGGGTAGTCTCTTCATTTTTTAAATGCAGACCTGCTCTGTGTGGCTTGGTAAGGAGGTTTTGGATCGGCACCAGTGGAGCCAAAAAAGTGAGGTTTTTAGTGTGAAATTCATCCCCCTTCCAAGACTGCATGTTCAGTTTAATTTAAGTAGGTATTTGAGCAAAGCCTGCAGTGCTCTGTCTCTATCTCTGCTTTTTGCCTGCACCTCATCCTTAACAGAGACATGAAAACACGAGCGCTTGATCTGCTCCTTTGAGCTGCACCCTTTTAGTGGACATGAAGAAAATAAGACCAGATATAAATGATTAATGCAGGATCTTGGAAGAAAATATTGCAGGGTGCCTTGCTGTTTGATTACAAGCCTTGGAATTAGTCAACATTTCCATAATTCTAAACCAATATACACCTGTTTTCCCACTGTGATGTGAAGGCACAACTTAATTTAACAGAAACCCTGCTGTGCTAAATCTCTCATTAAATACCAAGCTAGTTCTGTAATTTAAAGTTGCAGCACTACTATTTTAACTGAATTGCCTTTGTATTATAAAATTAATAAGAAGTTAATGATGCACTTTGCTGTATTCTCTCAGATATTTTTTTTTTCACAGCAACAACAACAAAAAAGAAAGATAAAGAAGAAAAACATGTCACCAGCTGACATCTCAAGGCTTTTCTGGTTTTAATCATTTTCCTGAGGATAGAAATTCATTTAAAAGATTTTTTAAAAAAATTTTAAAAAACTTTCTGCACAAGTAGGATCAAACATCATCTTTCTTACTCATGATTAGTATAATCTCTCTGTTAGTCATAATATTCCTTGTCATATAATGGAGCTTTTATCTTCCCCGAAAAATGTATTTAGATATCACTCGTTATGTAGGATTGCTGCTAGGCAGAGAAGATATGCAGTGTTTGAGAAATACAGGCATATTGTTATATATGAATCAGATCAACGAAACAGGGACAGTTCCCTTCTGTTTACTTGGTGCTGGAATCACAAGTAGCTTTTATGTCTTGTAAATGAACAACATGACTTTTCAGATGTGTCTTTTCAGATATAACATGGAAGCACACAGCTGATATCCTCATAGCTCATACGGATGTGGTTTGTATTATTCAGCTTAGAGTCAGGTTTTCTTGTAGTGTTCATTTGGATTTTGTTTTAAAAGGCAGAAGGGAGAAAAGGGAAAACCTCAATTTGATTGTAATAATGATCTTAGAAATCTGCTTCTTTGGGCTGAGATGTAGAACTGAGGCCTTAACTATCTCATCTTCATTAAGAATCTCATGGCTTCGTTAGAGGTGTTTAACTTCTATTCCCTAAACAGAATAATCCAATAAATTCCACCCATCTAAATTTATTCTGTACCTTCCATTAGATGTAATAATCTTGGTTCCCCCATGCTCTAATTTGCTACTTAGTGAAAATTGGCTTCTGTATAGAGGGCAAACCTCAAAGAGCCTTATGTAGGGACTGCTTTAACTGCCTTCACAGCACTGACATTTCTTCTTTGTTTTAGTTTTAACATGCTTTATTTTAAAAACAGAACGTTCTCTGGTTTGCTAACTAGTGAACCTGGTAGGATTTCCTGGCAAGAGTTAAGTGCAGATAGGTAACACAATAGTGGTATATGTTGGTTGGATTCTCAGAGCCAAATAACTGAATAAATGCACCTTTAATCTCATGCAGAGGCTGTTTGAGGTCTGGAATCAATGGACATCCATTTGTAAA